AACCCAGTTTGTTTTTGTTTTTGAGACGGAGCTCGCTCTGTTCTCCCAGGCTGGGTGCAGTGGCCCGATCTCGGCGCACTGCAGCTCCGCTCCCGGGTTCAGGCCCTTCTTCCTGGCCTCAGCCTCCGGAACGTAGCTGGGAACTACAGGCGCCGCCACCACGCTTTCCGGTAATTTTTTGTATTTTTAGTAGAGATGGGATTTCACCGTTTTAGCCAAGATGGTCTGATCTCTGACCATGATCGCCCACCTCGGACTCCAAGTGCTGGATTACAGGCGTGAGCCACCGTGCGCCGGCCATGGACCCCAGTTATGTTTATGGGAAACATTGACTTGCTAAAGAGAAGGACAACTATTTTTTCTCTCTCTCTTCTTCAGTTTCTCCTTTTCTCTTACTCCGTGTTACTTCCTCCAGTATTCTGTGGTCCCACATTATGGAGGATGGAATTTACTTTTGTGAGGAAGCTGTTGTATTCACAAGGAAGGATCCCATGGGAGTGCTTTAGTTTATGCAGTAGTAAGTTCATTCATATTATTGTATCTTGGGAGGCTCTGAAATTTGTGAAGCTAAATGCAAATTCCTCCAGTTTGAAGATAGTACAATTTTCATTAGTAAATTATGGTCAAATGTCCTTCATTTTTCTATTTACCTAAGTAATAATTTTGTATACTTACATTTTTTGTGGTGGGATTATGCAAATATTGGAAGGGTAGAAGGAGAGAGATTAGAGGAACTATAGAGAAGAGTAGAAAAAAGAGAAAGATCCAACAAGGAAAAGAAAGATCATCTACTATGATGAAAAACAGAAAGAAAAGATAGAAAAGGAATAATACATGAGCAGTAAGAAGAGAAAGTCAAGAAAATAGATAGAGAAGGAAGGATATAGGTACAGTAAAGGGAATAATCACTGTAAAAGACATGAAAAGATTAAATGGAACAGAAAACGCAAATAAAAATTAATAAAAAATATTACAAGTTGAAAGAATTTATCTTATTACATGAAATTGAATAAAAAAATAATAATTGTAAGATAGCATAAAATACACTAAATGTTTTTGAAGTATTGATTTAAACAATCTACCAGACCTATAAGGATTTTGAATCCTAAGAAAGGCAAATGCAGAATTTCATTCAAATCCATAGGTAGAAATATACTTTCTAAGGCATATAGTACATTATATTGTATTAATAATTACTTAATTTATTATATTAATATTATTTAGAACAGTAGTCAACGTCATTAAAACGCCCGAAGCATGGAGGTGAACAAATATAGGAACAAAACAAGAGAATCAATCAGCTCAAAGGAACATGACAAGCTACGAACCCATCACCGAATCAACACAAAATAACTCAACATATTGACTCAAGCTCACTGGAATAAGCGTGGGACTACAAGAGCGCTGGCTAATTTTTGTATTTTTAGTAGAGATGGGGTTTCACCATGTTGGCCAGGCTAGTCTCGAACTCCTGACCTCAAGTGATCCACCCACCTCGGCCTCCCAGAGTGTTGGGATTATAGGCATGAGCCACCATGCCTGGCAAAGCTTTAAGTTTTTAGATAACATGTTTTTCTGCCACAGAGATTTTCAAGAAGAAAGAGTACCATTCTTTGTTACTTTCTGTCTCTGCTAGTAGGGTTTCTCTTTAACCCAACAACTTCTTTCATTTCTACCTGGAAGGTGATTGGATGCTAGGTGTTGGAGCAAGCCATTACCAGAGGATAGGACGCAAGGTTTTTCTAATTATTGTAGGTCAAACTGGGAACCCAGCCCTACTGTCATGTTCAAAGAGCAGTAGCTCTGTTTGGATTTGGGAGTTAGATGTTTCTAAGTTCAAATCTAAGCTTCACAGGGTGTTCAGATAAAATCTTACAGAATGAAAGAAATGTAGAAAGGATTGGAAGGAATTTGACGTACATCGAATCTAACTATCTTCTACGATGTTTGAATAAAGCTCTGATTTTTGAGCATCTTTTTGGCCTTGTTCTCTTGAGTAGTTGTGGATGAGTCCAGCTTCAATGTCTTTTGCCTTGAGATCTACCTTTGGAGCTTTCTATATCCCTCAGTGCGGGCAAGATAGAACATCCCATTGTCCAGTTATTTTCTAGTCCTGGGGTATCTGTGGAGTTTCCGGAGCCACACTGGTACTCAGATGTCAGGAGCATGTTCTCACTGTGGCAGTTAACCTCTCTTTAGTTCTAGTTCCTAAGGAAGATAACCAAAAGAACACAGGTGGAAGAGGCTTGCATCGAGAAGACTACACTTTATCTTGGAGGTGAACTGTTCACTATTACATACATAGCTCAGGAAAACTTAGATACCTCTCTTGTTTCTTTTGGCTTAAGGGTGGTGAATAATTTAGGTATTATTGAGCCCTAGTTTGCTCAACTGTTTCTCGTGGTTCCTCTACTCCCATATCTTTGTACATAGTTCCTATGCAGGGAAAACTCTCCTCAAATTATCATTTTTTGAGTAGGCTATCTACTGCTTTTTGAAAAATCAGCACCATCCATGTGGCTTAAGAGTGATTTGCACATGTACTCATGGGTACAGGGAAGTGAAGGAGGTCAGTTGGAAGAAATACAAAACCCAAGATCTTCATTAAGAAGAATTTAAAAATTTTGAATGAATAGTTGGATCTTTTTCTAAGAAAAGTCCGTAAGAGATTTGATAATATGAATTTGGGGCCGGGCGCGGTGGCTCAAGCCTGTAATCCCAGCACTTTGGGAGGCCGAGACGGGTGGATCACGAGGTCAGGAGATCGAGACCATCCTGGCTAACACGGTGAAACCCCGTCTCTACTAAAAAATACAAAAAACTAGCCGGGTGAGTTGGTGGGTGCTTGTAGTCCCAGCTACTCAGGAGGCTGAGGCAGGAGAATGGCTTGAACCCGGGAAGCGGAGCTTGCAGGGAGCTGAGATCCGGCCACTGCACTCCAGCCCGGGTGACAGAGCGAGACTCCGTCTCTAAAACAAAACAAAACAACAACAACAACAACAACAACAAAATATATATATATATGAATTTGGATGAGAAATAGGGAGTGTGCTGTGTACCACTGGATTTAGGACATGAGAGCGGGAGGCCCAGAATGCACACATAACCCTTCTCAGACAACCCTTGAGCCTGTGGTTTGGATACTGAACTAAGGGTAAAGGAAGACAAAAGTTGGCTTTTTGAGGGATCAGTTTATGAGGTGGAGTAGAACTCTAAGCTGGACTCTGCCAGTGTCCTTTTGAAGCCCTGTCTTTTTTCCTAAATGAGGAATCTCAATTCCAGATATAAAATGAGGATGAATGGCTCACGCCTGTAATCCCAACACTTTGGGAGGCCGAGATGGGCAGATAACAAGGTCAGGAGTTCGAGACCAGCCTGGCCACTATGGTGAAACTCTGTCTCTACTAAAAACACAAAAATTAGCTGGGCGTGGTGGTGGGCACCTGTAATTCCAGCTACTCAGGAGGCTGAGGCTGGAGAATCGCTTGAACCTGGGAGGCGGAGGTTGCGGTGAGCTGAGATGGCGCCACTGTACTCCAGCCTGGGTGACAGAGTAAGACTCCATCTTAAAAAAAAAAAAAAAAAAGAAAAAGAAAATGAGGATGAAACACAGCTTTGGTTGAATGTTCCGCCAGGCAGTATTCTGTGTGTCTTTTGTGCAAGTGCAAGCACATAATTTTCCTATTTGCCATCTTTCTGAATCTCAATCGAGTGCTTCCTGCCTGGAAGCCATTAGTTCACATATTTGACTCACATATACTCTGAATTTTAAGTGTATTTTGACTCTGCCTCTACAGTGGTTACCACATGCTTATCCATTATTCATTATTGAGTTTTATATGCATTTGTACTTTTCAACTGACCCATATCCATCCATTGGTCATGTATGAGCTTTCCCTCGGCTCTGTTCTCCTGGGCCAATTTTGGGCATGGACTTTTATACTCACCTTCTCATTTTGTCCCAGCCATTCCTCAGTTATCCCCTCAGCTGAAACTTGACTTCTGTGAAAGCACTTAGTCACTGAGTGTGGGGATGGAGGTGACTTGAAAAGCAGGCGCTCTATCTCATAATTAAATTATGTAATCTGGTACTTCAGAATCTCCTGGTCTCTGTTGTTACATTTCCTTATGAACTTCTGAGGGGATTAGGAAGTATTTCAGAACTTCCTTTCCTAGGTAGGCATACCATTTTTTTTTTTTTTGAGATGGAGTCTTGCTCTGTTGCCCAGGCTGGAGTACAGTGGTGTGATCTCAGCTCACTGCAACTTCCGCTTCCCAGGTTCAAGCTATTCTCGTGTCTCAGCCTCCCGAGTAGCTGGGATTATAGGTGTCCACCACTGCACCCAGTTAATTTTTATGTTTTTAGTAGAGATGGGTTTTTGCCATGTTGGTCAGGTTGGTCTCGAACTCCCGACCTCACGAGATCTGCCCACCTCGGCCTCCCAAAGTGCTGGGATTACAGGTGTGAGCCACCGCACCCAGCTGTTTCACAGTTTTGACTCACAGTTTTCTTTGTGTTGAGGCTAGGTGAGTTCCTGCTAACAGCTCTGTACCACACACACACACAAATCACTCAGTATCACTCAAGATTAGTTCTGTTTTAATGATGAACTTAGCATTCATACATATATAATCTTAAGAGTAGTTATAGTTTGTGGATGAACTTACATATGACCTTAAGATCACATCTCTTCTGCCAGGCACGGTGGCTCACACCTGTAATCCCAGCACTTTGGGAGACTGAGGAAGTTAAGTGACCTACCAGCTTTCATATTTAGCATGAATCATGGGCGGATCACGAGGTCAGGAGATCGAGACCATCCTGGTTAACACAGTGAAACCCAGTCTCTACTAAAAAATATAAAAAATTAGCTGGGTGCCTGTAGTCCCAGTTACTTGGGAGGCTGAGACAGGAGAATGGCGTGAACTTGCGAGGCGGAGGTTGCAGTAAGCCGAGATTGCACCCCTGCACTCCAGGCTGGGGCGACAGAGCGAGACTCCATCTCAAAAAAAAAAAAAAAAAAATCTCATCTCTTCTGACAGGAACAATATAGAAACATTGGCTTAAGTGTCACATGGAAGACTGTCGACCAATCAAAGTCTTCTAGATTCTATTTAGAAATGCTGTTTTTGTAAATTGTCCAGGTTGGCAATTTTCAATGCTTGTTTCAAGATTAGCGAATTATTGTGGACCTCTGCACTGCTTGCTTGTTGTCTCTCTCATACTGTGTGTAACATGTATTATATGTATTTATAACATATATCCTTCCTGATATTATGGTATTTTCTGTATAGCACAGAGTAATTCTTCTATCCACATTAATATATTTTTAACATTTATGAATTGAATCTTTCCATGCATTTGTTTTAATTTTTACTGTTAAACTGTTAAAATGGGCCAACATGACACCCACCACATCCAGGAAGTTGAAAAATATGTCAGTGAATGAAGAGATGCTTTTACCTTGCTTTCATTTATTCACCAAGGAAACTGTCCATACTTGCCTTTAAGGTTGCCATGTAGTTGAATCTTCTGTCTTTAGGTTTCTCTTAAATGTTCTCTTTTTTTTTTCCAGGTGAAGACCAGGGCAGGTAATGTTGCTGAACTGAAATAATTTCTTTATTTAAGATGACATTTTCAAAGAGACTTTCCCAGTGGCTATTTCAATTCAGCAACAAATATTGATATTCTGTGTGGCTCCTAGTTATTAGGCAATAGAGGGCAGGACAAAACAAAGTGAATGCTTTATGTCCCTTGAGGGGCTCACAATCATTTGAGGTGGAAGGAGAGATAATTTCCTTTTTTTTTTTTTAGACGAAGGCCTCTCATGCCCGCCCAGGGCTGGATGCAGTGGTGCAATCTCCGCTCACTGGACCTCCACCTTCCTGGGTTTAAGCATTCTTCCTGCCTCAGCTCCAAGCAGTTGGGATTTACAGATGTTGTCTTGCCACCAATGCCTGGCTAATTTTTTTGTATTTTTGGTAGAGGCGGGGGTTTCCACTATGTTGGCCAGGGGCTGGTCTTGAACTCCTGACTTTGTGATCGCACCTGGCGCTTTGGCCTCAAAGGTGCTGGGGTACGGAATTACAGGCATTGAGCCACTGCACCGGTGGAGAGATAAATTTCTTGACTGTAATACATGACAAGACTGTGGCCAAGGGTCTATAGGTAAAGAGAAGTGATGGCAATACCAGGGAAGAGGAGTTAAGTCCTGCCTCAGAAGAAACAGGATGAGGGAAATATTTAATACGGATCTGAAGGAGCATAGATTGTCACTTGGTCCATATGGAGAGGAGAGACTTACATTCTAGGACAGAAGAGAGAGGCTTGGAGCAAAAGGAAGCACAGGCAAAGTTATAGGCCCGGCTCACGGGAAACGTGCAATTACTTCAGGTGAGGTTGGAGGGGCAAGCGGTGGAAATGGCCTAAAGAGGAAATGCATTGTATGTGAGGGCCAAGATTGCCACTGGACTTTGAATTTCCGATTAGAGGAGCCTGGCCTTTATGTATCATTCTATATTCCACTGAAGAGTTCCTTACGATTCATGTGTTTCA